CCCCCCATGCTGTTTGCTGCTTAAGCAGGAATGCCCCCCCCCCTCCCATCTTCCACAGCACAGACCCCAGCCTCATGGACCCTAAGCATGTGGTATGCTAGCTAATATGTGTCTCTCTCTCCAATTTCACTGGGACAGGCAGACAGAACAGGCTTTCTGGAGTTAATCAACGGGTCAGCTGTAAGCTGATTAAGAAGAGTTTGAACTAAAGGAGAGAGCCTATTGTTTTGCTGATGAGGTGATAAACACTGTTATCAGCCCTCTACTGGTTTGGCTTGTCAGTTTGCTGCAGATAGTATAAAGAAGCAGGGAGAGGGAGTTTGAAAAGCTCTGCATCATCAGCAGATACATGCACTGCACCCTCCCCCCTTGCCTCAGAGTGCTAGCAGGGGGCTGGGGGCTGGCAACACTCCTGCTCCCTGAGCAGCCAGCAGGGAAAAGCAGGCAGACCTTCTTAATCAGAGGTCCTGTGGGAGCCTGACCATGCCCTCCCTCAGCTCAGTACTGTCCAAGGGAAGGGAGGGCTGTTCTAGGTCCCCCTGACTTCTAGCCTGAGCCACTCCAGGCACATGCCTGAATTTCTTCAGTCCAGAGAGAATGCCCAGTTACAAACTGGTTCAGCCTAGCCAGGTTATACTAACCTGCAAAGATTGAATCAATTTAGGCTCAGACTTTTTGAATGTCTGTCCATAGCCAAAGACAGCCCTGCTCTAATGCATGTTCATTAAAAGTCCTGAATCTGGATGTAGCATTACTGACACCTGTTTGACCTGCACATATTCCGCTGAGGAAAGAATGAAGCATTGGTGGTACTGTAGGATGAAGTATGAGAAGGAGGAGATGCCTGGTGTCTGGCAGCAAAGGTGTTCAAAGTATTCTGGGACAGCGCGTTGATACTTGGGGAGGGAAGAATATATTTTATAGAGGGGAGGGGAGAATATATTTTATAAAGGAATGTCTCCAAGTATCAATGCACTGTCCCAGAATACTTTGAACACCTTTGCTGCCAGACACCAGGCACCTCCTCCTTCTCATACTTCATCCTACTGTTATATGCAGCCTTTCATCTCAAAGGATCAAAATACTTTACAAACTCTGTGCTGTGCCACACACATACCTGCAGAATGATAAAACTGAGATCTAACACCACTTCTCATTATTGGGCAGTGAGAGAAGGGGTTGGTGCATGACTTGCCTGCAGCATGGAACCACAGACTTATGGGGAAACAGCTGGCTGGAAACCTGAAGGATCTCCACATATCGGGACAGTACAACAGCTCTTTGGTGTGACATTCCTGTCCCCAGCAGCCTGTTTGGCTTCAAGGCCATACTGCCTTAGCTTCTACCCATTCCTCTGACAGAAGCAATGCAAGCAGTCTGAAGTCTGGAGCCTCCTGGAAAATGCATTCAACTGAGCCCCCCCAGCCAAAATTCATTAGGTCACATTATGCCACCGCCCCTTTCCTACTCAAACTTATACAGCAGGTATGTGCCAGCCTGGTGAGAAGAAGAAATTCTGGTTGGAGCCTGTGGTATTTTCCTTGCCAGTGTAGGGGAAAAGGAGAACGCATAGTTCCCTAGGGGGATTATGTTATCACCACCACTGAGCTCCCAGTCAGCACAAAGTTGCTTGTACTTCCTGCCAAAACTAGAGCATAACTACCCAACATCACAGCACTGCTTCAACCCTGCAACTGTGGGTTTACTGGCATTGCCTGAATCCATCCCATCCTCTGAGGGGGTGATAGAAGAGGCATGTCATGAATTACTGCAGAGTTAACTTAAACACTGCCCCTGCAGCTAAACAAAGGCAGCTTGGTGGGAAATACTCCTCAGTCCGTCTAGCCTCCTTTCAATATTGGTATGTTGTGTCCTAAAATAATGCCAGCGCTAGAAAACAGATGCTGCCAGACTGGTGGCCACATGGGAGGGAGACAGAGGAAGCATGCTGCTCTGCTGTGGCCCCCATCTGTTCTGCTTCCCTAGCCACAGTCATGCATTATCTGCAGCACTTCTCATGTCTCCACACCACATTTGACCATTTTGTTATGCATGCTTGTGCTCATTTAATGTACTTCATGAGGTACTTTGAGCAGCGGGCACTGCAGCAGGTGTTGCAGAGTCTGAGGCTCTGTGCCACCATCACAGGTGGCTGAACCAATGGTGTGGCCCCACTTCTTCATTAGTTCCTTGGAACGACAGACTCCAGTATGTAGGAAGTTGAGGTGAAGCAGAAGGAGCCAAAGCAATGACTTTGGACATAGAGGACACATCTACATGAGACATTTACTGTTGCGTTGCCTAATCAGCTCCGCAGTAAGCGTCTCAGCATCTACATGTGCAGTGCTATCAGGACAGCGCCAGCTAGTTAACTCCACTGTAGGTTAGTACTTGTAAATACACGTACTATCCTATGGTGGAGTTTTTCACTCCATAACAATGCACGTGTAGAAGCTGATGGGGCTGGCTGGGGCATGAGGGTGCTTTAGTGTGAGGGTTGCCCCATGCCGGCCGGGGCTGCTGTGACCTGACTCAATGTGCTGCAGTCCCGGACGTGTGTTCAAACGTGGCATCTGGACCAATAAACCCCAGCATGAACTGAACCAGAGTTTATTGTTGTGCATTACTTGCATGTGTAGATGTGCCCACAGAGAACTTTCTGGATGCTCCCTGCCTTGTTCCAGCTGGATGTCTGCTCTCTCCCCTTCCTCCACTTAATTTTTTGTTGCATCACATCCAGGCCTCTACCTTCTCCCCTTCTCTCCACATCCCTTCCTTTTCACTTTTTCTTTCCCTGAGTCCCTTCCCAAAACAGAACAAATACAAAATTTGCTGCCATCACATTGTTCATTCTGCTTATGCAGCAGACTTCCTCCCCCTACCCTGGGTCTGTCCCGTCTAGAAAGACTGGACATGCTGAGGAGGGAAATAAATGTCTTTGTGTTTGTACAGCACCAAGCCCAATGGAGGCTTATTCTTGGCTGCTGAGTCTGAGCACCACCACATTGGAAATGCTGTATAATCTTGGTCTTCTCACATTCCCTGGGCCATCACAGTAACACCACCACTATAAAAATGCTGTATAATCACCATCACTTCTACCACCAGCACCACCAAAGGAACAGACTTGGTCCTCTCCCCATTTCAAAACAGCGGGGGAAGGGAGAGGGTGCTGGAAGGTGGAATACAGTTATGTATAACATACAGTTATGTATGCTATATTTACTCACATACCACATGCATCCTTTCCCCCAAAATCAGTGCTCCCAAACTGGGGTGCATGTCTTAAGTGAGGCACTTGATTTGTTTCCACTGGAACAGGAAAATAGAAGACGACGAATAGAAGCATGAAGGCAATGTGTTGCAAAATGGCTGTTGGCTTCTTAGCCAGCAAGCAGGAGGGGTGGAGTCCAATGTTAACCTTTTCACAGATGCTCTCAGCTTGCTGGCTCAGAGGAAAGCTGGGAGCCATTTTGCAACACAGCCTCACTATGCAAAAGCCAACTCTAGACCCTGCTTGTGGAAAAAATACTTTTCTGCATTCTCTCTTCTAAAAAGAAGGTGCATGTCTTTTTGCAGGTGTGTGGTATGTGAGAAAATATGGTCTTCAGGAACAACTGTATCCACCGCTAAAACACAGTGCCCTCAGAACATATCAGCTATGCTCTGCACCTAACACTGTGATCTAGGACAGATAGTGAAGATAAAGAGGATTTCTTCCTGAAATCATGGAGGGGCATCACTTTAGAGATTGTTGAGGTAATCTTGTTAGTTCTCTGCTGTTGCAGTGACAAGGCACTTGCAGTGACCCTGTCTTTTTTGCTTTGACCCACAGCATGTTGTAAGGCCAGGAGGTCCCGTTCAGTTTTGTGTTCTCTGGCCAACATGCTAATGTCTAATCGCAGTAAAACTATTACACAAGCTTCAATAATCACAAGCCTTTAGGACCGCAGATGTAAATGTCATTTACAAACGGGGACTTTGCAGCACCAGGCTGGGACATTTGCTTAGTGCTGATTCAGAAAAAGGGTAACACCCACTGAATGACATGACAACATGACTTTCTAGAGACACCTACTCTTTCCCATCCATCCACATATCGACCAAACCTAACCTATTTGGTTACAGCAGCCGGCAAGAACACAACCTAAAAATGACTGAAGGCTCAAAGATCATGCTATTTTGAGAGTTCTTGATTATATGGTTACAGTTTCTGTCTTGTTTGACCCATTAGCTGTCACCATATTGCAAGAAGCAGGAGCCACTATTAAGAAAAGATAAAAAGAAGTGCAAGCCTTACCATGTCTTTAAATGCCCCAAGTATGGCTGCCGTGATTATCCCAAGAAACAATCCAATGATATTCAGGACTGTGGAGGACCACAGCAGTCGGTATAAATGAATCACATCCTGACAGCTGTTCACTCCAAGGAATTCATAGTAGCTGGGTGACTGCTCTGAACTGAAAGAGGATAGAAATGAAATCATTGCTATGCCAAGGGTTTCATACATGGTATAGAGCAGTGGTTCTCAGCCTTTTTCCTACTGCAACCTATTTGCAAAGATTCATGCCCTGTCCCAACCCACACCCCCCCTGGCCCTGCCAGTGCCCTAACCCCAGTCCCCTCTCCCCCCTGCCCAAGCCATGCTGGTGTCCTTTACTCCTGACCCACAGACCCCTGCCCTGCAAGAGGGTCCCCCAGCTGCACCCATCCCACTCAGCTGGAGTGCAGTGGCTCTGGCTCATGTTGGCAGCAGCAGAGTGAGTCTGGCCCTGGCATAGGCTGAAGAGAGGAGAAGGAGAGGCCTGTGGCACCCCTCCTGCCCTGGGCTTGGGTGCTGCGTTAGGCAGCCTGGCCATGGCCCCTCCTGCCCACCAAGGAGTGTCTCCTGGATGCCCCACCCCTGCAAGCATAAGCACTGGCCCCAGTGCTGCCAACCCAGCCATGCAGGTCTCCCCTGCCCCCTTCCCCCACTGGAAGTGGCAGCCATCTTCCCGCTGCCCCTCTGCCCTGCTGCAGTTCATGACCCTTTGAAATATCCTTGCAACCCACTTTTGGGTCGTGACCCACAGGTTGAGAAATGCTGGTAGACAGTATCTGACTATCTGGAACTCCAGTGGGAAATTTGTCTTGGGCAACTGACTCGAGTGTAAAATGTACAGCCTAGTCTGCACTACTAAGAAATGATTAATGAACATTACTAGCATTGCTCAAGCTGAGTGAGAGAAGTTCTAGCATAGACTGGAATCTACAGCCCAAACTTTTTTTTTTAATGACTGAGGCAAACTTTTAATAAAAATGGGTCTCGTCCCTGGGTCGTCCCACCTATGCCAGCTCTATATTAGATGACTAGTGTTGGGCAGCAGTGGGATTGTTTAGTAAGATTCTCTAGCATAACTATGGTTTTAATAGAAAATGCTACACTTTTTTTCTGAAATCAGGCTTAGGGCATGTCTACACTGCAGTGACAGCCTGCCTTAGCTGGGACCCTCCTTCCCCTGCAATCATGATCCACCCTGTCCACTCTAATACAGTGGGGTTACTGCAGGGATGCTCCTAGTGGCTGCTCTCAAGCAAGGCACAGGCCAAGACCTTCATGGGTCCATTTTCATGTTTGGAATGTATGAGCAAGAGGTGATGGCCAGGACAGACTGGGACTGATGTGCTTCAGCACACCACCAGCATGGCTTGAATATGCCCTTAGGACTGTGAGTTTGTGAGCAACTACCAGTTCAAACCTGCTTAGCAGAGTTCCCCCTTTATCTCCCCCTTCATCTCACCAGTTAATTAAATACTTCTCTTTGGAGCCTCATCTTTTGTGGGGCACAGGCTGCCTAAGAAAGGAATCCAAACAGAGGCAAGAAACATTTACCCAACAATATCCCCCATTTGCTTATGGTGCCTTATGGTGTCTAAGTGACAGAGGCAACACAAGAGCTAACGGATACCGTAAGGATGGTCCTTTCAACTGTGGATTGTGCCTTCTAGAAATACTGTCTTGCTGGGATCCTATAATCCCTGCTCACTTCCTGCCCCTTGGGCAGGGGGCTGGACTTGATGATCTTCCGAGGTCCCTTCCAGCCCTATTGTCTATGAAATCTATAAAATATTCTTCTACATGTATTCAAAATTACTACAATTACCATTCATAGCCATAGGCTTTGTTTTGTGCTGAGATCTCTTTGCTGTAGAGTCTATGTAATATGTGGGTATTTGGAGAAAAGAAAGGCAGTGTCTTGAAGATTTTCCATTGGAAAGCATGGTGAAAAGGTCCCAGGTTTTGTACTTGTCTTACCTTCTTCCCTACTACATCTGCTCCTACACTCACAATCTGAGTTGAAGAGACTTTGTGCCAGCTCTACTGAAGCCCTAATGCATGACATTTGCACTTCTACATCATCATTTTGCTGAGGAGCAGAGCACAGCAACCCCTAAAATTTCCTGCTTTCTAATCAGGCTCATGGGATGCAGATGGAAAATTGTGTGGCAAAACCATGGAGAAGAAAGGGGATGGCATGGAGACTCCTCTCTGACAATGGCCATCACCAGGTGTTAATGACTAAAAAAGGAAATTTTCTCTTGACTGCTCTCTCTTATTAGCTTATGCCTTGAAGCAATGGGATCTCAATCCCTAGCATTTTTTTTCACCCTAAACAATTTCATAGATTTCATAGACATTAGGGCTAGAAGGGACCTCGGAAGATCATCGAGTCCAGTCCCCTGCCCAAAGGGCAGGAAGTCAGCTGGGGTCATAGGATCCCAGCAAGATAAGCATCCAATTTGCTCTTGAAGGTGTTCAATGTAGGTGCTTGAACCACCTCCGATGGCAGACTGTTCCAGACCTTGGGGGCTCAGACAGTAAAGAAATTCTTCCTTATGTCCAGCCTGAAACGGTCTTGCAGTA